GCGATCGTCTTTACATATTCTAGGATAATCGGTTAATTTTTATCTTTTACGGATGTTACCGTCGGGCGGATGCTATTACCTCTAACGACTGAGCTCGATTCAGAGTGAGTTTCCCATTAGTGTCTGTCTGGGTTTCTTGCAGAACCCAGGTCCACTGTTGTCAGGGCCCTATTGTGAAGCCCATTGATCGTACGAACTGACTGACATTTAGATATCGAAATTAGAAAAAATATATTTTGTTCGCCGTTTTCTTCGCGAAGCTCGCAGGCTGTATAAACTGAGCGCGACAGCTATCTGTTATCCAATTCCTGTTTTTTGATAAGGTAGTCGAGTGCATGGTGCGATTACCCATACGGTAATCACAAGTACTTGCCAGTTTACAAGCTCTAATAGAACAAAGATTTTTTACTTATAAACGGTGCTACATAGAGATAATTGATGATTAACTGAATACTGGCTGTTTATTGTATCGTTACCTAAGTTGTAGCAGTCTTTCTTTGGGAATGAGTTTATTAAGTCAAAGGCTTTCCAAGGGTTTTCTGAACAGCCTTGCCTTACATTTGTATGCCATTCCCATTTACGTTTCCTAAGAACAACAAGACATCTACATGCACCGTTTCCGGTCGTATCATGCACAAAGTTCAGTGCTCGACTCAGTTCCCAGGGATTGGTTACCTTACCGTTTTCTTCTAATATCTGAGACTATGACTATAGCCATAATTAGAGGAAGAGGAAAAGCTGATCCAGTTATTTGCGTCTCGAAAATGGCCACACATTTGGGGATCATCTTAGCGTAGTACAACACATCGGATTCTATATAGTTAATTATAGAGCTGATTATGATAAAAAGCATATAAGATAACCGATAAACTAATGAGGCTGTCATAAGGGTAGAAGCGCGTCTAGGGTTTCTGCCAGCCTTGCTGAAAAAGTTCCGAAAGCGGGTTTGAGGGAAGATTTTCTAGCTAATAAATAGGACTTCTATATATAGCTTTTATTATAATGATAAAATTACTCATATTCAACCGATATTTATATTATATGAAATCCTAAGAACGTCTCGAATGTAGCATGAGGCGGTCTAAAGCAATTTGTAGAATTCCGTGCCCGGGCTTTATTTACTCTATACCGATGGGCAAGCATATCAATTGATGCCTAAATTCATTAGTAGTCCTTCTTCGAGTTAGGCTCGACCACTTTTTGTAAGCCATACAGAAATGTGTACACGGCGTACTATCAATTTGCTGGGCCTTTGTTGTACGATTATGCAACCGATAAACTTCGATAATTCTTATTAAATGCGCTTCATCGCGGAATCAGCAAAACAACACAATAGAACATTATCACTGAACTAACGACGATCCGTTAGTAACTGGAACTAGCCACTGAAACCTCCCTCCTGCTTGGCGGAAAGCTAAAACTTTTTTAACCGTGATAAAATTGGACCCTAATTGGGTACGGCCTTAGTGCAATGCCGTTGTTTCTTCTGCGACTCATAACCAACGAATAGAAAATTGTCAATATTCACATACGTTTCCAAGAGACCCAGAGCTGGATATCACCAGGCGGAAAAATCACAGAAGTAACCGGTTTATCGAATATTTTTTTTGTCACACCATGAGCAAATACTGTTTCAGGCGTCAGGTATATTTAGTGCGTATAGCTAGATCTCTAGCAAACAACCGATTTTTTTGGACTTGTGGAATTATTTAATAGAGAAGGTAAGAATTGTTATCTAATGAGAGAAATAAGTGGCCTGAAGCCTTTATCCGTCCGCTAGTGTTCACCGAGCTTAAGGGAATTCCCAGCACACAGATACATATACATGTGTGTCTGTGTGTGTATTCGTATGAAAAACCCAGTACACAATTTAACATTAGACATTCTCAATACGGAAACGGTAGTTTGAATTCGCTTTTTCCAATTGAGCCATATAATAAGCTGCTTGAAACGTTGACGTCCGATACAAGATCTGCGCTACTCAATATCCATAAAACAATGTATCTGTATCACCCTTAAGCGTATCATTGCGGATACCTGCTTGAGCAGTGATAGATTTGACATAGACCGCTTATATATATATATATATATGACTTTATGTAATTTACAATCGCTTTGGTAGTACGAGATTAGTGAATGGCACCGCCAGCTTAAATCGCAAACCCAGTGCACCCAGTACAAAACAGTGTAAAGGACCCACAAAATCACGTTTATGATAGAATTACACTGAATACGTGTGACGAAAGGCGTCACTCAGTTATTTTCCAATATCTAGCCCCATTTTGTTTTTGTATCAAATAATATAAATAACAATAGGTAATACAATCTGATGTTGCTTGTACATATATGAATCGTGTGGCCATTATAATTTGTGCCTATAGTGAGGCTGTTAATTGCGTTGATTCATCACCCCTGACCTTTCGACTGAAGGTTAACGAGCGTTCAAATAAAGCTTAGCTCCGAAACACACATACCAAAATACTAATTAAAATCTAATCACGATTTTAAAGAATTAACAGATTTTACAATCACTTCTTCTCTGCCGTCGGATCATCATTGTTCAGAAGAATCCCAATAGAGGATACAAGAACAGCTAACGAAAGATGTCAGCGTGTCCTTACCTGAGAATGAAGGCCAAGGTGCGTGCATAATCGAAGTACTTATTATTTTAATAGTACCTTTGAAATATCTCGTACAAGGTCAGGTTGAGTTTTTACCTATTTATTTTTATTCCTCGTACCCAATGAGTACGATATTTTAAGCTATATATATACATATATATACGTACATACATAAATGCTGTAGATGAAGTGCTACAGTGGGGAACTTGATAATCTTATATATTGCTGTGCTTTGAACTATTGAGCCAGTACCACAATCATGAACTCGATATTCGCTAAAAGGTTCCACTACCTGCAAGGCATCTAAGAACCAGGCCGTTCCACTATTGAAACATAGTGTTTCGATGGCGGAACGGCCTGGCTGGTGCGGAGCAAACCCAAGGTTAACAGGCAACTTAGGCTCCGATCACTCAAATCATCTCATCAAATTGAGATTGTCCCTGTTTGGTATCAAAGTTTAGGTTAAGAAAGAGCGCCTAATAAAAGGCTTACAAAAACAGTCGCAGAAATCAGCCCAAGCAACTATAAAATATAACCGATGTACGTTTTCTACCACTGGATCAGTTTGAGTTCCTTGTTGAGAGTATCGCAAGTTACGGAACGATTTATCTTGAAAAATAAATTAATTAACTCCTAATTATTTGATTATTTGTATTTGATGATATTATAAACTATCCAGGAAGTAAATATCCGACCATTGTATCTAGCGTGGAGGGATCACCAGCTGATTTTTGCTTGTTCCTAGCAGATGTATTATATCAAAAAATCGCGCCTGGCTTTTCTTCAATGCAGGGTTCGCTCTCTTAAAGAAAGCGGGATCATCGTAAATCACAGACCACAATCATAATTGACAAACACTCCGATAAAAAAAACAACAACTACTACGCAGTTAATGGCGTTGCTGCGAGCTATACGTAATACGTTTTGTTTCTTGTTTTACCAAAAAATCGAAGCTCATTTAGTATTCTGTACATATAAGTATTAGCATACCGTTTTACTCTGATACGCGAGAGCTTGAATAAATATAAGCGGATCGAGCGTAACTATACTACCATAAGAACGTATAGGAAATGGAAGGTTATCCTGCAAAAGGATCCAAGGGAGTTTATGCCCCGTAAAGTTCGGTGAGCCCTCAAACTATACTCAAAGATTTCAGCTAGGTTGACTAATGTAAGATGGGGTCACAACACTCGTCCCCGTGATCGCTAAGTAGGCGACGTATTTTCCTGCTAATCTTAGGGACATGTGGTGACCCGGCTTTGAATACAAGCATGGACAGACTTCGTTTTATGCTGGTAACCAGCCATCCTATGGAATGCCCACCCCAATAGACTCGAAACATAGAGGGGCCACAATACTTGAGTATTATATGAAATAGTGATGCCAGTCTTCAGATCGGACAGGGCAAGCTTTGGGGCGGGTTTTTAGGCCTTTAAGACTTATTATGAAAGATAAACCAGTTTTTCCGAGCCTTTTGTTAGATGTGACGTGTGAAAGCCAGTAGGCATTTGTATACATTGGTAGAAAAATGAAATACACTCGAAAACTCTTCAGAAATCATTGAAAGGAGAGCTCCTAAAGGAAAGTGGCTCTGGGCTACCCTGAGCTAAGATGAATGCTTTTTTTAGAATTGTTTTAACACATTTTGACTCATCGCGCTTTTATATCTTGATGACAGATTCTGAAGGAGTATTCAAGCATAAAAGTTTGGGCTGATTTTATTTCCAGTAAAGGATCATCATGCCCAGTACTGATTGGCCATAGCTTCTAAGCCGTTGGACTGGGACAAATCGCCTTCTGTTCTATTAAGTAGTCCTTGGTTAACAAAAATTCAAAGTCTATAGATGGAAAATCTAAGAATTCATGACACTTCAGGTAAAGCAACTTTTAGATTTGGGGAAAAACTGTTCCTGTGGTTCGGGTTAGATACCTCCACAGTATGAAATGACGAGCAATAATGAAATTACATCGGGTAAAAAGTTACAAGCTTTGTTTTTTTATTATAGCTTATTTCACGTGACAATACTTTGCTATTGCAAACGTGTCACTAGAACATGGCTCTCGTCACGAGTTATAAGCGCTAATAGCGCGTAGACATTCTAATGACCAGTAAGTCCGTTATCCGCCGCTTCCGCCACTGTCGGAACTATCACTCTTGTGAACACCATCATTGTTAGCCGTCGTCGTCCGCGTCGGGGCTAAGGGATGACGTGAGTAACGGAAAATATGATAAGTATAGCATCTATCGACAAGGTATATTAGACCGAACGGTGCCATTACAAGAGCTACTGTACGAGCTCATACGCCCTCTTTCTCTCTGTGCGTGATAGAAGCCCGCCCGCTATTTTAGCTGGCCAGTAACCAAACAGCGGACATTTGCCAATGCTCCTGTTACGGTAATGACTATGTCGGCTGCTTAATTTGGTTCCGACGAATTTAGAGGATTTATTATTAAAGAAAGGCAGTAAGCCAAAGACCTTCGTTTGTAAAACAGCAGCTATTTTGATTTGTATTTTCAGCGGACCTGGTTGGATCAACATATTGCGTTGCCTACACACACGTAAAAATTCTCCATCAAATCAACCACGTAGAGGGTTCTGTGCCTCTTAACATGGTACTATGCGGCGAGATCGTGTAGATGATTGAGACTAACTTGTAAGTGAGAATAGTTTAATTAACATTCCTTCCAGTAAGTCGTTAATTTTACCGTCGTTAGATAGACATGAGCGGTATTGGTATAGGCATCGCAGATTATCATTAATTTGATGAGACAGGAAAAAAATAGTTATTTGTCTTTTTTGCAGCCAGGCTGAAGCCTCCCGTACTGGGAACGGCTGAAGTGTGTGCCACAACGGTAACTTCATTTATTAGGCTTCATAACTTGAATGGTATCAAATAGGACTTAGTCATTACATCTGTCCACATAGCTATTTTTGTTGTCACAACCCAGGACAGCTTCACTACGACACACGAAAGGGGGTTGTGCTCTCGTATGTAAATATTAATACAGTAATACGTATGTTGTATGAGCAAGCCACTTTGGGCCACGGTGATTAAGAAATTCCTCTGAGTAAAAATCTGAAGCATAATCATCCGCTGATGATTCTAATGAAAGCGCGATTCTTGCACTTGGTCTTAACTTCGGTCAGAAAGATCAATATCGAACGTCGAGAAAAACAGTATTAAATTCAATGTTTTAGTGTCTAACGAGGTGATGACATCGTTAGAAATTAATCTGCTTTAGGGAGTAAATTTTACGCCTTTGATCAGGAATTAAGTTTTCAGGCTTATTCTTTCCCATCTCCGACTGCTTACGTCCCCTTTCTATTCTGTTCTGTTCCAGTCTAGAGAAACAGTACCATAAAGCCCCACAAGACGGCACTCGTTTATTTGTCGTATACCAAATGATGACACTGGTTCCAAAGTACAGCCGGGCTCTTGGTCTCCCTGGCTGGCGCGAGAACAACAGTTCGTGAAAGGTATATAGCTACGTCTACTGCTTACTATAATTTTTTTGATGTTTTCATGTGGTGTCAATATAAATAGCTAGCGCCCTCCAGCGACCCTTTTTTCTTCTACGTTGCTGGTCCGGACACGAAGATGCAGCGATTTTATGGGGATATCGCGCCAATGATAACGACGATAGTGGTGATGGTCATGAAGATAATACACGCATTGATAATCTATTCGATGCGGGTAGGAAGGGCATAACCACAGTGTATTATATGGTGGATGAATGTTTAAGTATCTAGAACATAGTCTGTTTGCAACGAACAAAAAAAACTTGCCATTAATTGCCAAGAGCCCAAATAACTTAGTAAAAAAATAAGCAAATAAGATTTGTTTTATGGTCCACGAGCTCTACGGTGTAGATGTTTGTTGTGTATACGTTTAGTTAGTTGGCAAGAAGCATAAGCTCGTAATACTTGATAAATAATTATCTCGAGTGGAACTGTATTTGTAACGTAACTGCGAACTGTGTTTGTTTTCAAGTGAAATTAATTTATTTAGCTATAGGCGGCTGGCTCAGAGAGTTACCATGGAAAAGTATTTGCGCCGAGTTCTTACTTCTGTTATATTTCGTCCAGCTTAACTGACGCTTTTCAGTGATGGAAAATTATCTCCTATATACTATATGCATCTGTGATTCTCAATAATGGTGCTACCGGCTCAACAAAGCGGCACGTATCTGTGCGGACGTATGAAGGAAATGCTCCTTATATCAGAATATAGACATAGTTCACTGTCGGCCGAAAAGCAGTAATAAAACAAAGCATGATTTGACTCTCATCTGAGAATGGAAGCGTCTGTTGCATAAGAGTCGCACCGTCCCGGCGGGCAAACGAAATTTTATACGTCTTCGTCTCGTCGAAAGACCAAGAACACGTTTCAGTCTCTGAGGGAGTAAATGGAAGACGATGATATCGTTCGAAACCTGGGAAGACTGAAATTTTCATAACTGCTATTTACAAAAGGTCTAAAGATAAGAAATTGAGATATTGTCTTTTTCCTAACACGTACTCATACTGTTTTATATTTCCGGTTCCTCGATGATACAATATAGACTACTTCGCTACTCCATCTACTTTATTGAAGCACAGTTAACCATCAAATCCTTCACGTCCTCTTTTTTTGATTCGCATTATTTAATTTGCAAAACATATTTTTAATTGACAATTATCTCAGTATTACTAACAACTGAATTTTCTATTGGTATCATAAAGCCTGAGTGTATGGAGCGTGCATCGCAATTCATTGTTTTTTTCCACGGCACATGGATATACTGGTACAACGGTGTGGTACAACGCGCCGCAGTCTTTGTCGGGAGTAATTTTTACCTAAAATAGATTGAATTCGACTGTTAATTATCGAGCCATTAACTATATGAACAAATACGGCTATACGGCTGTCACGGAACCAAGTTCAAGGTTACACGCTAAAAAATAGAACTTACCTTCAAAGTTTTACCAGCAATTTGGCTTTTGATCTCGACATCGACAAGATACGATAACGAAACTTCAATGAGCGCTATCTTACTGTGATATTTAAAAGGTGCTTAACATCAGTGTATCGGCTAGCGTCCATTGATAGACTACTGACTTCTCTTCTATACGTATAGCCCTGAACATACTTCATGCAAACGACAAATATGAAAGCGTCGTAGTACGTATCGTCGTACAGTAAAACACGACGCCGTTTTACTGCTCGCAGCGTGTGACTGCAGCCGCCACAGCCGCTACCAAATCTCCGGGCTCGCGCACCGCATAAAAACCAAACATCACGCTACAACAATGGCGATCCACTGCGAAAGCCGCCGAACGATCCCGAGCCAGCGGTAGACGCTGCAAAAGATCTGTTGGACTTCAATGGCTCGTGTAGAAAATCAGTCGTAATTCAACAACGCTACAACGAATGTACATAGATACACGTGCGCATGTATATCAATGCAAGAGGGAGAGGGGACCGCAGGTACCAGTTGCAGCAGACGAAAACGGCGCGCCCTCTGGGAGTTTGACGGAAAAGTTGAAATTTCTTCTTTTGTCTTGTCGTCGTTGTTATTGTTAGCCGACAGAATCTATGCGCCATTACGTTTGTCTGTTGCAACCGATAGGCGATGGCAGTTACTGTGGCCGGCGGTACAGCTGTTGTCCGGCGATTTTCGCCCCCAAATCTGACCGCAACGGGGGGAAATGCTGCGCGGTCGAATAGTCTTTTACGCCATTGTGTTGCTCTTGCGAATGCCCGCTGTGATCCCTGCTAGAAATTACGAGCAGCAGCAGCAGCAGCAAAAAAGAAGAGGACGAACAACCAAAACGTGTGCGTGCGTGAATGTTCGCGTATATACGTGTGTGTGTGTTTTTACAGGTGTACGTGCAGAAGTGCAGACACACAGACAGACAGCAGACAAACGAGCCAGTCTAAATGAGCGGTTGTCTGTTCCATCGTTTCAACAGGATTAAGGATATTTATAGATAGATACACGGGTATAACAATGGGCACATGGTAGGTTCATGGAGTCAACAGGAAAACAGGAGGGTATCGGAGTACAATGAAAAAAGGCGACACTGTCTAAAGATTGCGATACAGTGGCAAAACGAGTAGTAAATGGCATATCTCCTATGATTTCATATGTGATCTCTACTTGCATTTTTTGTTTGTTTTCTTTTAAGAGTCCTGGTTCGGAATCATGCGCCTCTATATGTACGTGTTGCTTAATAGCTTGATTCCTATATAATTTAGTCTAGGATTCGGAACCTCATTGGTCGTTTGGGCTACCGTACCGCCTGATCAGGTGCGCCACTAATCCTACCTGAAAGTGAGGTACGCGCCACGATATCGCTGTTTTTCTGTATATTGAATAAGATCAGCTGCACAGCTAGCCACGTCTCGAGCCTAGTTACGTGTTCCTAAATAGGAACTTGTACATTGAACGTATATGAAATACGAATATGTATACATGCCTTAATCCCTTACCGTGTTACAAATGCTTGTAGACACCTTAATATAGCTGCAACTTTATCGATAATTCCGTTTTCCATTTACTTTAATAACATTGTCATTGACTATTATATCCTGGCTATTTATTCTCATCGTTCTTCAATGGTAAGACTGTTCCGCTTAACGCTACGCTAGGTTACTTTTCCTTTTGCCGTTAAAACTGCTACTCTTTATACGCGTCTGTGTGCGGCTATATCGCTAACATCTGTTATTTTACATATATCTGCGCTCGGAATCATACCAGCAGCGGCACCGGCATACTCGGCAGCGTCAGCTGCTTTAGCGCCAATGGGAAAAAACCGATTTTTTTTTACTTCTTTGATCTCGATAAAAGACGAATTTTCAGAAGCCAGTAAAGAAAAAAGAATTGAAGCTAGAAGCACTTAAGTGCGTATTTTCACAGAGTTATTTTAGTGTTTCGCCGATTGAAGAACATTGCCCACCTATTGTTCTATATAGATAAATCTATGTATTGAACGTAGAAATGTAATATTTGTGATATCTGACTTTAGGCCGATAGGACCTCATGACTTCTAAGAATTCTTTGGTTACTTTTAGCAGCATTGACACGTCGACTGTTTTTTGAGGTTTGCCTCTTGTATTTTTGCCGCCGTGAAGAATTAAATGTACTAATTTACGTTGTTTGCCGAGCAGCATCTACCCTTACTTAATATTACTATCGCTACCTGAGGTTATCATTGTGCCTAAAGAAGGACTGAGAAAATTTTCAAAAAACAACCTACAAGGGAAGAGATATTTAATTTAATCCGTTCGGGTCCCACAAGTGACAATGATATATGAATGACACGGTCTGTCAAACTTATCGTAACCCTTTCAATTAAACAAGTAAAATTAGTGTCCCCCTAATCCGATTACGAGATTCTCCCCTTGACCAATTGCGTACTAAAATCAACATCCTTCGGCCTTCTAAATATACCCTTCACATATCTTGCCCTATTATACCAGATTTTTCTGTCTATTCCTTCTTCAAGCAAGACGTTGATTTGCTTCCTATACATCACCAATTGCCCAATTAAGTATACAGAGACAAACTTAATAGAGCAGACAGGCTGAAGTTTTTGTCCACACGCAACCCTGGCCCTCGTTCAGCCCAGCTTCCTTATTCGTTTACCACCGATGCCTAGCTATGAGATTTTTTCTTTATTGCCAAGATCACTGAAAACCCCATTCTCAACTATGCACAAGCAGCGTTGGGCGATAGTAAGTGCGAAAGTAAAGTGCGAAAACGTGGGAACGTTTTCCCCACAGACGTCATAGTTTATTGTTTAGGTCTTCAAAGAATTTGCTCATTGCTCGCACTCAGCTAGCTTTGAAAATAACCAACTGTCAATGAATTTTTGTTTAATCCTCGGGTAAGCCTCACGTTATTAGGATTACACAGTGAGAAGTATATTTCACGACTATGCACCCTTTCTAAACGCTGCTCGGTTGATGATCTCAAAGATACAAACCAAAACAATTATTATATAAACAGTTAATTTCCCGAAAATTGTATTTATGTGAGTCACTATGCTAGTCATGCAGCCACGTAGAGCGTCCTAAGACATCTGTTAAGACGAAAATACCCGAGAAGCTTTGATGTCGTACACAAAAAGTCTACAAGGGATCATAGGTGCACGGAATGTATTTGTTTTCGTATTAAAATTGTCAATTTCCAAATTAGGAGCTCGGCATAGATAAACTGCGTCACCATAAACAGAGAGAAAATACTCTAATTTTTCTTCAGGTTAAAATCGTTATGCTGTTAAAATGCTTTTCACTGCGTTTTAACGACATCACTTGTTGTTGGTCAAGAGAACAGACAGTGGAATACGATGTGGCCGAGTAGAAAGATGCCCACGTTCACCGTCGTCATCGCCACGGCGACTATGGCTTCAAATCGGAGTGAAAAGTTATCTATTTATTCACGGCTCTGTAAAGCACCTTCTTTCAGTAACAACAACAGACAGACAGACAGACTGATAGCATTTACTTCAATTTTTCATCGGTCACCCTCGAAAGGACCGAAAGTGTCATTCATGAAACACATGCGCACCCAAATGTGCTGAAGAAACGAAACGTTCCACGAACACCATTACCGCCAACGTGGCCCCCAGCATGATGATGCTGATGATCATGAGAACGTCGAAAATCATCATAATCATCACAGGCATTGCCACCATCATGACCATCAATAAAATAGCGCTCCGTATAGAGACAGAGTGGCATTGGTGGCGTGAGAGGAAGCACCAGAGAATGCTGACAGTAATATATGCCGTCACAAGTCGCCATAGCAAAAAAAAATTGTCTTATTGACAGATATAATCGTGTATTAATTGACAGGGAGGGATAGAAATACACTATGAACATGCAACGAATGAGGGAGCGTTATAGAAGGCACATTAGGCCGAGAACCTCATAGGTTCAACGTCGTTAATAAGGAAAAGAAAAAAAAATGGTGTAAAAGCCGATTATGGACCAAAACTGTTTATCTTAGATAAGTAAAAAGTTACTAATTCCTAGAGCTAAATGCAGTTCAAACACTGCAATTGGTTTATTCTGTGATCGAGTTCAACTGAAAGACTAACGACGATATATGTTGCAAGCATAAACGTACGTCTCTTCAGAAGTGAATCTTAATGAGACCGTTTTTCGAATAGTCGATCTCGGAGTCAGGAACCTACAT